AGAGTAAAGTAAAATGTAATCTAAATGCAGTAAAGTAAAATGTAATCTAAAATTTCCACGTACCAATACAGAACTAAACCCTTGGTTCCCCTTAGCCCTCCACTCATTGTCCATCTGTGCATAGCCAATCCAGCACCACCGAGGTATTTTGAGAAATGCTGAGGTGTTTGGGCTGGTAAAATTCCACCCTTAGGGTTAATGGCCTTGAAGATGCCAATGCACCAACATGAACCAGATTCCAAAGCGTTCTGTTCTTCCTCAGCTGCCAATTCCCCCTCCCAGTTTCCCATCATAAAGATATACAGTTTTATTGTCCATTTGTTTTCCCCTCTTCTCCCCAATTGATGACAGAACCCCAGCAAGGCACCAAGCTGAAGCTGAGGGATCTGACAAATACTATCTTCAGAAATGTTGTTCTTGTTTCAACTTTCCATAGAGGTAATGTGTTTATGTAGGCAATTATAATCACAGGTATTGTGATCTTTTGTGTTCTTAAAATGTTGAAATGTTGGAATGATTAAAACTGAGGAAAAAAGAAAGCATTCTATGAGCTTACATTTCATGCCATTATCTTTTATTAGTTATACTTTATTTTCAAGTTGTTTGTCATATTTGCTTTCTAGAATGCATGAAGTATATAAACACTTCATAAGGGCAGTTGATTTAGGGAAATACTTTGTACATTCATTCTCTGATGTGCTGTCTTATTAGTCTGACTCTTCCCCTACATTGACTACCTCCTTAAGTTGACCTAATTTTCGTACCCCGGACATATACTATACGTACACAATAGAAAGCCAGCTCTGTAAGTTGTATCTTGACCACCTGGTGCTTGACGCACAGTAATTTACTCTCTATAACTTGACCAGTTGAGTCCAGTCTGTATAAGGGCAAGAAAAGTGAAATGCAGAATTGGTAGCAATGAGTTTCTTTTAAGAATAATATCAAAGAATACAATATTGTTGACTTTGATTCGGCAGTAAAGATGACAACATCTTTTATGTGACTCATTGCACAGCATAAGGCATTTATACACTGTGATGTAGCAGGTTCATGCAGTACTATAGTTGCTTATGGCAATATACTGAACCACATGCTTTTGAATTATTTGTGAAAAAAAGGATGCCACTCAGTTTGAATGTAGGTGGCAGGTTCTCTCTTCATGTGTTTTCGGGAAACCTTTCTGTGTTTGTTGAAATATGAAACAAGTCTCTTAAAGGACTTATAGGTGGATGTATACAGAAATTATAACTTTCCATCCAAAGTTCAGAAACCAATGATATAGGATGAAACCTAAGGAACAAGAAGTTTCTCTAATCTTCAGCTGCATAATGCTTCTCTCTTAAACTTTATATCACATGTTCAGTGAAAACAGCACAGAACTAAGTTATATACTGAGAAACATATCAATATGGTTTATTTGTAGTTCAAGTATTTAGCTAACTACTGCCAATATTATTTAATAAACTGTTATAATTTATAGTGATATCAGCATGACAGTTAAAACAAGTAATAAAATGAGCATTTTTTCCACCTAGGCTTTCATTTATATGATCTCAAATAGGAAAAATACCATTTTAATCACATAAAAATTTTATTTGAATTACAGGCTAAAAATACAGCTATATACAGGTGAAACTTGAAAAATTAGAATATCGTGCAAAAGTTCATTTATTTCAGTAATGCAACTTAAAAGGTGAACCTAATATATGAGATAGACTCATTACATGCAAAGCAAGATAGTTCAAGCCGTGATGTGTCATAACTGTGATGATTATGGCTTACAGCTCATGAAAACCCCAAATCCACAATCTCAGAAAATT